GGTGCGATCATACGCTTTGTGCGTTTCAGCCCATCGAACGATTGATGATTTTCACTACTTTGTACTTTAATTTATGCAAAAATAGGTGAAACGTAGGGGAACGTTCCCCACCTACGTGTGACCCCGCAAATTTAAATTCAGCTTCCCCGTACCAACGGGTAACACGTATGGTCTCGTGAAAATTTTTTACCGGTAAATTAATATCTCGGGAACCACGGAGTTTGGGAGGCTGAAATTTTAGGGTAATGACCCCCCTGCCCACGCTCAACCTTGCCTATTCAAATTCGGCGCTCCCACACTCTCGGGTATCACCTATGGGCTAGTTTTTGCGGGTAAATTATTATCTCGAGAATCACAAAGTCTATGAGACTGAAATTTTAGGATTGTGACCCCTTGCCCACGAACGGTCTTGCAAACACATATTCAGCGTTCCCGCGCTATCGGATATCACCTACGGCCTCGGGGAAATTTTGGCTGGTAAACTACTAACTCGGGAGTCACGAAAAGATATTCGCCCTTCGAGATTTCAGATTCAGCTTTCATGCGCAAATGCGTGAAATTTTTAATTATTTTTCAACGTTTCACCTATTTTTGCATAGATTATAGAGTACAAAGTAGTGAAAATCATCAATCGTTCGATGGGCTGAAACGCACAAAGCGTATGATCGCACCGGTTAGTCTGGTGCGCTTGCTATTTATTTATCCCTGTACCGTATATTTTGACTGCTGGCGGACATGGTGTAGTGATAATATTTAGTTCGTAATAGGCACTGAAATATTTAGGCTGAAGCAGCATTACAAACACTATTCTAAGAGTTGCTGTCTGAATAATAGTAAAGTATCTATGGAGATATTAAAGACTATACATGTATAATTAATAATCTGGCTAAGATTAATATGTTTAAAGTAATGTTGCTCCGATACAAGAAGCAGGGACCAATTCCCCCACTGAGGTGGCCAATCACTCTGCGACTTATTCATTCGTTTTCCAAATAAACTGATCTTTGAGACTGCCGGGAAGTCCAAACTGCTATCAGCTTACTTCTTAGTAACCATGGAAGTATAAACCTCTCAGCAGGTTGTTGCTTTTGACACGTGCCAACCGCTCGGGCTACTTCTCGCTTCCTCCACCCCACGTATTTACTGGGGTCTTTTGACTTATATGATATGAAGTATAATGATGTGGCTTTTCAGCTGGTACCTGCAAGATATGACTTTTTGGGTAATCCGCATCGACGCTCCTTTGAAGAATATGTAAGTTTTGTTTATTCAGTGGTTTGCTCTTATGCTGCTTGATTTTTTTTTGAAAGAACAACTATCTGCGC